GTTCGCCCTCAGTCTCAACTGCCTTCACTTGTTTGTTTGATCTCTCAAATCTCAAAAGAGACTGATTTAAGACTACACTAACCTGATCCATGAACATAACAGATAACCCAGCCCCAGAAAGTATTCTAACCACGTGCATAGAGGTCAGGATTTACAGCACACATTTTGGGGTGTCACAATGCCATCCATAACATAGACCAGTTGGGAAACGTCGCATCTGGGTTCTCCTTTCAAAACCCTTTGTATTTGGTTATTGGGATACAGACAACCTACCTGTGGTACCTAACTGGGCCTCGGGACCTGAGCCTGGGCCCCATCCCCCTGTTACAATGGACAGAACACAGGATTTGAGGCCAGAGGGAAGCGGGGTGGGGGTGGGGGTGGGGAGGTGAAAACTCAGTTTAGCTTCATCATCCGAGGTAAATTGCTTAAACTTCCTGAGTCTTGGTTTGCACATGCAGAGAGTGGTTAGTCCGTGGGGTTCTCATGAAAATTGAACTTGATACGAAATCTCAAGAAGCACCTTGCCTAGAAGTTAGAACTTAGTAGGCAATCAGCATGACACCTGATATGTCTATTATTGTCCACGTAAAGTACAGTAAATTAAGATGAGCAACAAAGTCAGCCTTGAGAGGAGGGGAGGGTATGTGGGAGCAAAAAGCAGTAGAAGCAGCCTCGCTGCTATTCTTTGACTAGAGAGTCCATGGGGTGGGGGACATCATATCATTAGTTGGTTAGTTATGTTAATAATAATAACTACAACAGTGAAAGTGAATGCTGTGCCTTGTGTATGTGCTAAGCCCTCATTCCATCTTCACTCTAACTCAGTGAATTTGGCTATGAGTCCCCACTTTACCAAGGAGTAAGCTGAGACTTGGCAAGGAATATCACGTGACCAAAGCTGCTCAGCCAGGCAAGTCCTAACCATTGCTTCCCACTGCCTCCATGGTGGCACGAGCCAAGTTTGAGCATCAGCTGGCCGGAGTCAGTGCTCTCTCCCCCGGTGTGGGAAAGAGAACGATGGCAAATACTAAGGAATGTTTGCAAAACGGTTGAGAGCCAAAGTTCTTTCCTTGAACCAGTAGCTTAAGGAACTTTGCCACAGGGACTCTCCGGACTTGGAGTGTGTTGGGAAAGAAGACAGAGTAAGGAATGGTAGAGAGAGTGGAGGCATTGCTAGCTGGGACAGGTGACCGAGAAGGGGCAGTGAATGAGTATGAATTCATGTTCCATCTGCAACACACCAGTTCTAGGTTTCATTTACCAAAACCTATGACCATGGAGCCCACCCTGAAGGACAGAGTAGAACTTCCCTAAAGGATTTCCAAAGCTGCTCTCTTTATGGAAACAGACCAGCTCACCTTTCTATCAGAGTGGCTGCTGGGCTCCCATAGCAGCCTTTTGATAAGCAGCTGAGCACATAGCTACTTTGCCAGTAGGGCTCCTTTTTTCGCCTATAATTGATAGCAAATGGGAAAAAATATACTCCTGCTAGCATGCAAGACTATTTTTCAAAAACCTGTTTGGACTTAGGTTGGACTTTTACTTTGGCCCAGGGCTTCTTTTCTCTCTCAACGGTCTTTGTTCAAGGCCAGTGGCCACTGCCGAGCATGGTCCTCGGATCCAAGGCTAGTGTATAAGCCAAGAAAGAATAACAACACTCTACAGATGACCAGTCTCTGGAGAATGTCCTCGCGTTTCCTCAAGAGGGGTGGCAGCAAAAGAGTGGAAGGCCTTCTAAGAGATGGATGGAGGCAGTGGCTGCAACCAAACAGAACAACAATTGGGAGGATGGCACAGGACCGGGCAGTGTTTGGAGCTTTTGCACACAAGGTTGCTTGGACTTGGAAATTACTCGAGGCCTCTAACAGCAACAATAGAAAACCTAGTAGGAGCCCTGGTAGCATAGTGGGTTAAGTGTTGCCCTATTCACCACAAGGTCAGTGGTTCAACGCCACCAGCCAATCCATGAGAGAAAAATGAGTCTGTCTCATGCACAACCTAGGAAACCCAAAAGAGCAGTTCTACTCTGTCCTGTTGGGTCGTTATGGGTCAGAACCAACCCAATGGCTGTGGATTTGGTTTTGGGAATGAGGACCTGGCCAGAGAATGAGGTGAAAGACAAGCAGCGGCGAGAAGAGGCCCCTGTTGGTGAGGTGAAATTACTTGCAACGGCTCTTCTACCCAAGACATTGTAACTCCTACCAAAGAGTGGCACCGTGCAAATAGGGTGTGGAAAACACAGACGGGACCAGCGGGTATAAGAATGAGACTCTCAGAAGTAATTGTACAGAATTTCCAGAACCACCAGGGAAGCGCCACTAGCAGGTCATGTTCCAGATCTCTAGGAAGGCCAAGCCCAGAGGCACCAGAGGCTGC